CAGGCATAAAAATATAGCATTTAAGGTATTTTTTAATAATAAAATGATATCATTACCATTATAATTCATTTTAACAAAAATTATTGATATATATTTAATTAAAAATTATTAGGAATTGCTAATACAAGGTTATGATAGTAGTAGGTTGATAGTAGCAATTCCATTCGTTTGTAAAGTTCTTGAACAAGCAGGAAAAAGTAAAGTTTTTAAACCACCAAATCCATGGTTGATGGCAATTATTAAACTCTTGGTGGAATTGTATCACAATGCTGAATTAAAACTAAATTTGAAATTTGAAGTTGAAGTTTTGTGCAAGAGTTTGAATATTGAGCTCAAAGATATCAATCCAACAACTATTCTCAAAGATCGACCTCTCAAGGAATCTGCTGTTTTACAATCAGAAAGACCCCTAGCAGAATGGCCTACAAATAACTCTGTTAAAATTGAACATCAAATACCTAGACCACCAAGCGTTACACTCACACCTAACCCACCATCTTCATTACCTTTGAATGGTAAGTATTAAATACACTTCATGTTATATTTATATATTTTTATACATTTTATTTATAACGATACAATTACTCTTTTAAAGACGATGTTATTCCAAATATTTCTCAGTATATTACATTCAACCCTACATTATCTATATTTGTTAATCAACCAACATTGAGGAAAATTGTTTATTTGGCTATTGATAGAGCGATTAGAGAAGTAAGTTTTATAAATTTACATAAAAAACATTGTTTTAATTTTGATTTAAAATTTATAATAAATATTTTTTGAAATATAAAAGATTATTGCTCCTGTAGTTGAACGATCTGTTACTATTGCAGGCATTTCTACTCGTGAATTGATATTTAAGGATTTTGCTATGGAACCAAATGAAGAAAAAATGCGTAATGCTGCTCATTTAATGGTACAAAATTTGGCAGGAAGCTTAGCCTTAGTTACATGTAAAGAACCCCTTAAAATCAGTATGGCAACACATTTAAGAACTTTATTTTTGCAACATGGTTTTAGTGAGGTAGAATTATATTGCTTATTTGTATGTTTTAAAACAATTGAATTTTTTATTTAATGTACATAATTATTTAATTTAATTTAAAAAATTTTCAACAGCAAAATAACATTGAACAAGCAATTTTAATTTTGGTTTCTGATAACCTTGAGTTGGCATGTTCAGTTATTGAAAAAGCAGCAATGGATAAAGCGGTGCCTGAGATTGATGAAGCATTATCAACAACATTTAGTAATCGTAAGAAACATAGAGAGGTGGTTATTATTTTATTTTATTGTTTGTCTGTTTATATGGGCATTTGGTATTGAATAATCGAAATTATTGATATTCACACAAAAAGTTTTTTCCCCAGAGAACTGGTCAATCATATTATGACATGTATCCTGGCGTTTCAAGATATGCTAATAATCTACCTGATCCTTTACGTTTAAAACCTAATGGTTTGCAGCCGCAACAATTACGTGTATATGAGGACTTTTCAAGAATCCTGCGTTTCAATCCAATATATGGTAAGCAAATCTATTCAATGTATAATAACAATTTAAAAAACCCCCAAAACCCCAATAACTTTATTTTCATATTTATTTTTGAATATAGATGAACGTGTACCTAGACTGAATATGTCTAGACAAGATTTTCAAATTAATAATCCATATACTATGCCGGAAATGCCTTATGATTCTGCAGCAGCAATTTCACAAGTCCCAATGCATATTACTTTTGAAAAGTTTATGGTAATTAAACTTTTTTTTTTTCTAATAAATATATATAACTAACAACATTAATATGTATTTATATATTTATTCCTCTTCCTAGCAATATCTTTCTGAATTAGATAAATTAGTCAACAAAACACCACAAGCTTCTTGGGCTGCTTTACCACCTAATCATGAAATATGCATCTTGGTCAAAGAAATACCAATCTTAGCAACTCAAACCTATAACCGTGATGAAACAGCTCTGATGTTCTCACAAAAAGTCGTACAACTTTTATACAAGAATGATTCTAATTTTTCTCGAGAAGTTTATGTTATTTTACTTGAGAAACTCTGTGAAATTTCTGTTAAAGTTTTCAAAGAAGTTACAGCATGGTTGTTATATTCCGATGACGAAGTATGTATATATGTATGGTGATTTGATATTTATTATTTTTAAAAAAAAAATTAATCAATAATTGCATTATTTGTGTAGCGCAAATTCATTGTGCCTGTGGTTGTTTCTTTGATCAAAGCTGGTCTTATTAACGTTGCTGATCAAGATTTACAGCTTGCCAAATTAATTGAAAATGGAAGGTCTGTTGTCATAGACTTTACAACAAAATTAATTCATGAATGTGTTCTCAAAGATCAACCTTGCGCTACTCGTAATGATTTTATATATTCATTGGATGCTTTAACTCGACTTGCTCAAAGGGGTAAAGCAACTGAAGTGTAAGTAATAGATTATAATTATTATATATATATATAAATTTCTTATTAATTAAATTTATACATTATTTTACAAGTGTTAAACAAATATTGGATGATTTATACCCTCCTCGTATTGTTAGAAATAATATTGTAATTAATGATGTTAATGATGTTGATGATGTGGAATTGCGTGATCAACTGGCACATCTCTTTACAGAATGGATCAGGGTTTATCAGGATCCATCCTCGGGTGAAAAGACTTATACTAGCTTTATTCAGGTAAAGATGCACATTATGTTGTATTTTTTTAAATATTCATTTGATATTTTTTAAAGAAAAACTTTTAATCATAATCCTCCTTGTTTTCATCATCACCATCATTATCATAGAAGCTACAACAGCAAAGTGTATTAAAAGGGGAAGAAATATCTTCAATGTTCTTTAGAGTTTGTACTGAAATTAGTATAGATATTTACCTAAGACAAAGATCATCTCACCAAAATACACCTGCTGTAGCTTATCAAGCAATTGATGCCTTTTCTAAACTTATTGTTCTTTTGGTGAAATATCACACAGACACTGAGGGTATTGATGATAATGTCGCAAAAATTTCTTACCTGACAAAAATATTATCAATAATTATACTGATTTTAGCACAAGCACATGAACAACGTAGCCAACAATTTAATCAAAAACCATTTTTCCGATTGTTCTCAAGTTTATTAAACGATTTAAATTATTATGAACAACAATTTCAATCAATTTATTTTCAAATACTTATAGCTTTAAGGTTTGTCTCTTGTTTTTTATTTTTATTTTTATTTTTTTATAAACATTCACTAAAAATATTTACTTTAATTACAAAACAAACTATTACAATAACAGCAACAATACTTTTCATACTTTACAACCCTCTTTTTTCCCTGGATTCACCTTTGCATGGTTTTCATTGATCTCACATCGACTATTCATGCCAAAATTATTATTAGCAGAAAATCAAAAGGTTGGCTTTAATTTCTTATATATTGAACTTGGTTGAAATTACATTAAAAATTATTAATAAATGAATTTTATTTAATTGATTATTCAGGGATGGTCTACTTTCCATAATTTACTCCTATGCTTGTTTAAATTCCTGGTTCCATTTCTTCAAAATGTTGAGATGAGAGACACCACACGTTTATTATACAAAGGAACATTACGTGTTTTACTTGTTTTATTGCATGATTTCCCAGAATTTCTTTCTGGTTATCACTTGAGCTTTTGTGATGTGATTCCATCAACATGTATTCAATTAAGAAATCTTATATTAAGTGCCTTCCCACGTACTATGAGATTGCCGGATCCTTTTACACCAAACCTTAAAGTAGATCTATTGCCAGAAATATCACAACCACCAATAATTTTATCAGATTACTCTTCGGCTTTAATAACACATGGGCTTAAAGATGATGTTGATGAGTATTTAAAATTACGTTCACCAATTAGTTTTTCAATGGAATTGCATGATAAATTATTATTGGATCCTAGCCAACAAGATACAGCTCTTATTGTTTCCAAGTATAATATACCACTCCTCAATGCTCTTGTTCTTTATGTTGGCATTAAAGATGTTTATGATAATTTTCAAGGAACTTTAATTACAACAAGCCCGTCTATGGATATTTATAAACAATTAGTGGCTGATCTTGATCCAGAAGGTTGGTTATCTAATTTATATGAATATTATAAATTAAAACAGTTTCTGATTTATAAAACAATTGATTTTATCAGGCCGTTATTATTTTTTGAGTGCCATTGCAAATCAACTTCGATATCCCAATAGTCATACACACTACTTTAGTTGTGTTTTGTTATATATTTTTGCAGAAGGCAAACAAGAGGGAATCAAAGAACAGGTGACAAGGTATAATCTACAAGAATTTTTTGATTTATTGGTTAATTAATTATTTTGCTTAAAAAGACCTTCCTTATAATTTTATTTATTTTATTTTGTTATTCATGTCAGAGTTTTATTGGAAAGATTGATTGTGAACAGACCACATCCATGGGGGCTTTTAATTACTTTTATAGAATTGATCAAAAATCCTTTGTATAATTTCTGGAGCCATGCATTTACAAGATGTGCAGCAGACATAGAACGTTTATTTGAAAGTGTTAGCAGGTAATCAATTATTTTACAAAATTTCACTTTTATATACACATAACATTACATTAATTTTAATTATTATTGTTTTTTATAAGGTCTATAAACCAAGTATAGTAATTGTAGATTGTAGATTTCTTAATCTCTTATTTCTCTATTATTTTTAAATCTTAATTAAAACATTCACTAAAATTACACTTATATAATTGTACAGAATTAATATTTCTCTTTTTTTATTTTTTTCTTTCTTTTATTTTTTTACTTTATTCTTCTACTTTATTTAGATGTTTCACATTGTTACTATTTAAGTATATAGAAAATTTTCTATTTGTATGCTATTTATGTGTGATTGACAATAAATTATTCTATTTTCAATTAATATACCATCATTATCACCGTTACTACAAAATAATAAATTTAAATCATGGCAGGAGCTACAGGTTCTCATGGTTTTCCTGTGCCTGGTAGAGGATATGTGTTTGCTAGTAAACTACTTGGTGGATTTGCTGCATTTTGTATGTATTTTATTTTCACAACCAAATGTGACATGCACATTTTTAATAAAATAGTTTTTAATATATATATATATTGTTATAGGGATTTTATATCGTGGAAAGCAAGATTTACCGGTGTTATTGGTATGTTAGTAAAATTAAGTTATTAATTTTTTAATTATTAATATTATTAATAAAAATTATGATTATTTAGGGATTAAAACATCCTTGGGAAGCTCATGGTCATCATCATGGTCATCATTCACCAATAAAAGACTCAACTTTATTGAATGAAGAAAAGAGTTAAAAGATTATCAAATTTAATTATTTAATATTATCCTTATTATTGTTTTCAGTGTCATCATTCTTGTTTCATCAACAAGTAAATGAACCAGTTATACAAATAAAATAGATTATTTCATAATTAAGGTAGTTTTCTTTCCCATTATACATTCTTTTCATTTTTTAATTAATATATTATATTAATAATAAAAGACACAACAAGGGATTCGTTATTGTTGCTGTTTAGTCAGGCCTTTAAAATCAAAAAAACAATGCATCTCAATGTAGTAAATCAGATAGAAAAATTATCATGTGTAGTTTGAAAATGAATTTATGCCAGAAATTTTTAATGTAGTAAGTAACTTATTACAAAAATTCCAATTTAAATAAATAAATAAAGAATTGATTAAATACAATATCCCACTGTAGAATGAGATAGAGAAAAATCTAAGGTGCTATTATAATTCGAATAGTATTGGTATTTCCAAGTCCTGAAAAAAGATAAATTAAAAATAATGGTAATAAAATATAATTTTCAAAAATGGAGAAAAAATCATTAATTATGTACCTCCTTTCCAGCCTTGAATTGCAACAACACAATCACCACTTTTAAGCATACTGATAAAAAAGAAATTAATAGAATATAATAAAAAAGTAATTAATTAAATCAATTTTTTTTTGCAATAAAAATTTAAGTTATACAAAATACTTACTTAAATTCAATAGCTTGTTGTATTCCCCAACTAATTCGACTTTCTACATCATCTTGCCAATTGGAATCATCACTATCATTTCCAAAATGATAAATGAAAGGATAACAACCTCTAGAAAGATGAAGTTGTCTAGCAGTTTTTTCATCCCTGGTCACAGTAATAATAGGACAACGAGGTCGGTATTTTGAAATATATCTGGCAGTGTTTCCCGATGTTGATAAGACAAGTATACATCCAGCATTTTGTTCATGTGCTGCAGATACAGCTGCTGAAGCTATAGTTTCTGTAGTTTGAGTTGGTAAAGGTGTAATAGCACGTAATTCATTATAAAGTGGTGGGTAACATATTACTGACTCTGCAATGAGACATGTTTCATGCATCATCTTTACTAAATAAATTTAAAGGCAGTTTGTTTTAATACAATTTCTAGTCTTGATAATTTTTAATGGATTCTTATATATTAAATTAAAGAATAATGTGCAAACCTGCTTCAATTGGATAATATCCTTTGGCAGTTTCACCAGATAACATAACACAATCAGCTCCATCAAGTACAGCATTTGCAACATCACTGACCTCTGCTCGTGTTGGCCTTGGGTTGAACTATATTACAAGATTTTATTAAGAATAAATAAATAGTATATATATTAACAAATTTATATTATTTGTTCAATCTATATATTAAAAATTCATTTTTTTAAAAAACTTCTTACCGTCATTGATTCAAGCATTTGAGTAGCACTAAAAAATATTTGTAAAATTATCAAAGGATTATTTAAGATATTCAAATGTAAAATGGTAATATGGATAAATGTATGGATAAATAAGGTTTCCATACCAAATAACTGGCTTTCCAGCAATGTTACATTTTGCAATTATCATTTTTTGAGCAACAAATACATGCGAAGCAGGTATTTCTATGCCAAGGTCACCACGAGCAACCATGATGCCATCTGCTTCTTTAAGGATTTCATCAAAATTATCAACACCTTGTTGATTTTCAATTTTGGCAATAATTTTAATATTAGAGCCCTTTTCACCCAATATGCTTTTTATTTGAATAATATCTTGAGCATGTCGAATGAAAGATGCAAAAATTATATCTACATCATTTTCTACTCCAAAAAGTAAGTCATTCTTATCCTTCTCTGAAACAGCTGGTAAATCAACATTTGTGTTGGGAAGATTTACACCTTTTTTACTACAAAGTTTTCCATCATTGACTGCATGAACTTTGACGTGATCATCATGAATTTCAAGAACCTTGAATGATAAGATACCATCATCCACATAAATATATTTACCCACTTCAATAACTTTAGTGATGTTTTTATAATCAATATACATCACATCTGAATCACAACATTCTGCATATTTTTCATCTGTGCTGAAAGTCATTTCATGACCTGCTGTGATATCAATCTATTAAACATATATGGATGAAATTTTGAATTCTGAAGTTATTTGATAAGTATTTACAGACATAAATGCATTAAAGTATACCTCCACATTATCACGCATCAAGCCAGTCCTAATTTCAGGACCTTTCTGTTAATTACAGTCATATAACATTTGTTGAGTTTATTTATTAAATATATAAACAAATAGATAAACTTGTGAAAATTATTTAAATCAATTTACCGTATCTAAAGCAATAGCAACAGGTGTTCCATAATTCACTAGAAAAATGATTTTAGAATTTAAAATATAAACCATTTATTACATAGTATATGTGATTGTATTTCAAATGACATCTTACACTTATAACCTTCACGAGTATTTTCTATTACAGATTTATGGTACTAATCATTACAAAAGTTGCATATATTTATTAAAATATAAAGGATCTTTAAAAAAAACCTATACAATTTGTATTTTTTTTTCACCTCATAAGAACCATGTGAAAAATTCATTCTGACAATGTTCATACCAGCATTTCGTAATTTAGATAACATTTCAACACTATTGGTTTTTGGCCCTTTAAAATAAAATATTTATTTACTTTGTTATTAATGATTAACAAAATAACCAACGAAAAAGTTTACTACCTATAGTGCAAATGATAGATGTTTTACGAGAGTTTTTCACTGGCTTATTAACGACTAGAGAAGAAACCCATTCTAAATTAGTTTTTATAATTTCGTAAGGCATTTCAAAATTATTTTTAAAGATTTTCAAAAGAGTATAAAGAAAATATTTATCATTTATTTATTATTATTATTGTTATAGAATAGAATACAATAGAATAGATAGATAAAAAAAGATAAATATAACAAGATATCTATTTTATATCTGCAATACTGATAATACTTAATTAGTAATAGTAAATTTCGTAAAAATAAATACAAAAAAATATTGCATCACATATATCCTTCTTTATTGGGATGTGGGATTACTGATATCAATGGTTCAGTTCAACCAATATATTAAAATTCTTGTGTAAATATTTCTTCTACTAATTAGGAGTCAGCAAGCCAAGAATTTGTCGTGGCACTGTAAAAATTATTTACTAAAGGCTTAACGTGATTTGTTACTGTTTTACCAACACTACCAAATAAAACATTTGGAATTAAGGTAACGCGTAAATGGAATTTGATATGTTCAAAAAAAAAAAAATTATTTCATACAAAACTTCAATATGTTTTATCAATAAAGTTTCTAGAGATCTCAAAAAAAAGTTTCTCATTACATATAAAATTATTTATGGCCACTAAATACTCGGTTTAAGTTACTCTATACTCTGTATAAAATATTTTTCATCATATGAAAAAATTGGGAATATATATATATACTTGAGAAGAATGTAGGTTGTCTAGAATATTAAACCATAAGCATAAAGATAATAATAATAGTAATGAAATAATAAATCTCAAAACACAAACATTCAAAATTTCCAACTTTGTTGAAGATTATAATAAATATGATATAACTTTGATACTTCGATTCAATATTTAAATTTAATCAAAACCAGGAAATAATCAAAAATAAAAATACGGTAATTTATCATTTTAAAAGTTGATCGGGAAAATATTGTTAAATTAATTTCAAATAAAGGAAATTAAACTAGTTTTAAACTTTTTTTTAAAACTCCGAAGCTGCTCCGAAACTCCTAAACTGTTCAAAGGGGTGGTAAAAGACTTGGTTTAAAGATGAAAGAAATGTTCTTGGCTGGTAAATAAAGAAAAAATTTCACCTGATGATATGTTCAAATGCATGCTGAAAATAATGAAATAGTAACCTTTTTTCAGGAATATGTTTTCAGTGATTTGTTTTATAACTGAAAAGGAAAAAATACATTTCAGTACTAAGTATATAGTTAGTGCAAGTCACTTAGCCGCTGGACTTTCTGCGTCACAACGAAATTCTACGGTCACGTGCCTTCAGAGTCCCGTATCACACAAAAATTTAGCCAACAATTGTTGTTACGCGACCATTATTATAAATATGGTTTTAGGGAAAAATTCGCAGCTTTATTATGAAAGGTCAACTTTAGTATATATTATTACTATCATCATTTGTGACTCAGATATGATCCCACAATATAAATGAACAATAAATTTATTTGAACTTACTTGAAAATAGGGTTGAAAAGTTTCACTAATATAGCTTTCTTAACAAATGTAATAACCATTTTCTTTTGTTGCATGATTTAATTCATTGCATTACTGAAAAATGGACAATGGGCTGGTATTATAGATGCAACTTCTTTAATGTTTGGTTTTGCGCCAATATATATTTTTGCAACAACCTTTCATTTTCATTAAAATATTTTTCACATTTTAGGATAAAAAAATGTGAATGGCCAACCATGTTACAATTAAATTTAATTATGCAGGTCAAAATAACGTTTTTAAAAGTGTATAATACAGTAATATAGTAACTAAACTTTGATTTTATAACAAAAAATATAAATGCAAGTCATATTATTTATACTGTATGTAAAGCATGATTAAATGATGCCAAGTTTTGGTTGAAAAGCCAATAATGGGCGAAAAAGTCAATAATCTTACCATTTTATTTGTTTTATTCAAATAAACATTCAATGTAATTCAAATACTCAAATTCATAATGAATAAATAAATAATTCTTATTCAAATAGAAATCCTACTATAACTAATTGCTGGTAAAAAAAAAAATATATTATTATCACTACAAAGGGAAAAACCAATTACTATTAATTGACTGGATAAAGAAAAGAAACAATTACTTCTGATACTACTGATACTACTACTATCACTACAAGGGAAAATAGAACTGATAAAGAAAAAGTTATTTAATTGGATTGGATGGTGCATATACTATTACTATTACTATTACTATTACTATCTATCAGTTATTATTAATTGACAAATTCAAATAAAATGAAATTAAATTATAAGTATTTCTGGAGTGTACTACATAATAAAAAAGTAAATAAAGTCATTTTGTAGTTTAGGTCCTTGCAATTATGAGATTTAATGTTTTTTGTATTATTATTCTAGAACTTTTTTAATTAAAATTCTACAGTATTTTCAAAATAAAATTTATTGAATTACATAAAATGATTGTGTTATAAAAATAATAAATAATATAAATTTACTCCCGTTATAATGGCACCCACTATTCATCCCATTATACTAGTATAGTGACATGATTTTTTTTATAATTATTAATATAGAATTTATTCCGTTATAGTGACACTTATTATAATGACATATTAATATCAATATAATGGGAGAACCGGTCAAAATCATTCTGATCATTTTGAAAAAAAAAAACATCAAGAAATTAAAACTTATGCCAGGATCAAAATTGGCCAGCATCGTGGAAAATTCTGGTAACATTTCCGTATAATGCTGGTCAATTTTGGCCCCAGTGTAAGTTTTAATTCATTATTGTCAATAGGTACTTCTGGTCGTTTTATATAGTTCAATAAGTCCTTCAATAAGTTTATCATCATCAGGAACTTCATATATTTTTTCTTTTCTAGATTATTTAAAACTCTTCAATTGGCATTCTATCATATAGGTTAAGAGTGTAAGCACCTGAGTAAGCTTGAAACTTAATTACAAATATAGATGAAAAATAATTAATGTAACATGATAAAATTAGTTGCGCATTGATCACGTGAAAGTCATGGGTGTGTATTTAGAGAGGATGGTTTTATATGAATCAGAATGGGATTGGGAAAAGACCGTACAGTGTATTTATGGGTTGCATTTATCTCTTAAGCTCTGAGGTTGGGAATGAGACATAGGTGTACTTATAGAGGGTTCACTGTAACCATAATAAGTTTTGTCACCCATAATTGACTTTGTCACTTGTAATTAGTTTCATCACCCATAATCAATTACGTTTTTAAAGAGGGAAAGTGGTAGGTAATTAATTATGATAATCACATATTGTGCATTAATAGTAATTAGACAATTACCATCCCATGTTAATGGAATGCTTGTTACAATAAGAATTAAAAAAAAAACAAATTAAATTAGCATTGAATTATATACTAATTTATCAAAAATATATCCATCAGGACATGAGTTTAGTAAACATGAAATTCAAATGTAGCTTAAATCAATTGGTTGTAAAAATATAACTCCTTTTATATATACACAAGTACTATGTTATTTATTAATAAGCTTGGAGTTTGGACTAGAGTTGAAATCAAATGATAAAGCTGTATTTAGCCCTTCTGCTGATTATTTAACACATATGGCCAACTCTTGTCAGTTAATTACAATAATTTAGCACTTGTCAACTAAATGGTTTATGAATTTACTGCCTTTTTCTTGCTTCAGAAAACCTGTAAATACACTCAATAATATAGAATAACTGCAAAAAAATGAAGATGACCCATTTACAAAATTCAAAGGCTTTAATTAAGTTCCTTTTATTCACTTATGGCCGATTTATTTCAGTTGTTTATACTTATTTGGCTGATTGCAAGCTGCATTGGTTTGTCTACAAAACAATTTAAAAAGCTTGTTTAACAGCCTTACATTTGCAACAATGATTTTATTACAATAACAATGACAGTACTTCCAATTAACCTTCACTAAAGCAAATAATTTTTACTGATCATTGTTAAAACCCATTAGTTACATGATGTTTACTGGTCATTAACACTCACTAGTTAGTCCTAACTTAACAAATAAAATGTGGCTTTTACCAAAGCTTGCAGTTGTTGCCTTTTTACCAAAGCACTTTGCTTCAAACAGAAAAATAAAATAATTCTTTAAAAGTTTATTACAAATTTTAAGATTTATTTTTAAAAAGATAATGATTTTACAGAGATTTTGTTTTAAAGTGGTATTTGTCCCCCCCCCATTTGTTCAAATGAGGACCCAAACAAAGTTATCTTCTTCTCCCACTTTTTCAAGTGAAGACCCAAGGTTCATTCATTATCATTAAATTGGTTAAATGTCCAATAAAAATTTTTTATTAGTTATTCACATTTTTGTCTCCCCACACTAGTAATCATTTATCAAGCTAACATACTCAATGTATATAAAATAATTAAACTATAACTAATGAAAACATATGAAAAATATATAAAGAAATACAATAATAATCTAACACTATTTATTGTTATTTTTTTTTATCAATTATTTGAAAAACTTCCAATTCATCAAATCTACTGTCATATGTTATATTGATGTTACTATAACTTGATGTTGTGCTATAAATAGTACCCTCAGTTTGAAACAAAATATCATTACAACCAAAATGAGCTAATTGTAAAGGATTACAGTAAATTGCATACTCATAATAATTATTAATAACATAACTAAATTGTGCAGTATTAATATTATTTCTATTACTTATATTAAATATAAAACTTTCAGTTGTATTTTTAAATACATTATCTCCATTCCAATCAAGTGGATTATAACCACCAACTATTTGCTCAGAATTTTGTATTTTTCCAACTACAAGAGTTTTGTTGATATTATCACATTTTTGATGAAATGTAGCAGCATTTAAACCATCTCTGCTACTACGATGTAGAAGTTTGAATTCGTATTTGACTTCCCTGGATGAGATATATGGTAGACTTTTTCTATCAATCCAACTTGCAAAAAGCAAAGTAAGGTTTTGATTAATTGTCAATGATTCAAGTGTTGAGTTCAAATTTGAAATTCTTGATGGTAATAAATTTAATGTTTGTTGTTTATCTGGAATTACATGATATTGTAAAAGGGGTTTCCATAAGGTCCTAGGAAAAAGCATATTATATGGTTCAATTTTATCAAGAAAATCCTCTTTAGAAATATCCTGAAATCTTATTAAAGAAATAAATTCTTTCAATGTGTTGCCTAAATCAGCAAAATTTTGTGATGACCAATCTTCAGGATTGATATTATTGATTTCTGGATGTTTTGCTAATCCCCATTTAAGAATGCTTTCCCAAATAACTGTCTCATCAATAGAAAAATCATCCCTTTTGAGAATTTCCAATAGAATTGGTTTTTCCAATGATTTAAATTCACTTGATTCAAATAATTTTTCACTGTATTCACAAAATTTTTCCAAATAGATATTTTTCAATTCATTAAAATTTTCATTAGCATAAATCAATTTTAGAATTTTAACTGGATCTTCTTTTATATAATCTTCATAATTTTCAATAAAGTATTTCATTGTATATTCATAAAGTGACTCAATACCAAATTCATCTGCCACAGTTAATAGTTCTAATACTTCAGCACCAGAATAATTTTCAAATTCAATTTTACATGTATATAAAAATCTTAAAAAATAAATAAATTATTAAACAATAATTATAAATAAATAAAATAAATAAATGAATAATAAATTTATTAAACTTACTTGAGAATAGGGTTGAAAATTTTTTCACTAATATTAGCTTTCTTAACAATATAATAACCATTTTCTTTTGTTGTATTATTTAATTCATTGCTAAAAAATGGACAATGAGCTGATATGATAGATGCATGTGCATGAACTTCTTTAATGTTTGGTTCTACATCAATACATATTTTTACATCATAAAAATCTTCAGTATTTAACAATCTTTCATTTTCGTTAAAATATTTTTCAAATATTAGATTCATTTTTAAGATAAAAATGTGAATGGCCAATCACATGTTACAATTAAATTATAAAAAGGAGACCTTTTCTACCTTTTAAGAATCATAACTTTGTAGCAATTTCCATTTTTGGAAGTATTAAAGGATTTACACATCCAATAAAAAGTTTAGCGACCAAGTGACTTGCACTGCAAGTACCATTTTTTTATATAAAGTCGTCAATTAGTAAAATTTGTGATATTTTTCTTCCGTCGATTCGAATTCATTGGTTTATAGACGGATTATCAATTATTTTTTTTGCACTTCGTCTTTGAAATGCTCAGAAATAATCAAGCAAGCATAGCTCGCATAAAAAGTTTTCCTCATAAAAATTGCGATATTTAATAGTTTATCATTCAAAATCAATTTGTTGCTAGAATGCGTCGCGATTTTGTAGTTTTTTTTTTTTTTGAGTTCTTTGAAATGCTCAAAAACCGTCAAGTAGACAAGCCTCGCGTATTAACTAAGTGAGTCGTTTTAAACTCAAATTGCAGACAACTAATTGGAAATCGTTTCCATTCGCTTTCTTTCCCTCCTTTACTTTGCTTTTGAACTAGGTTATAAAAAAACATTTTGAGCTTTGTTCATCTCTAAATAATAGTTTTTGATTTTTCTACTAAGTTTCTTTGCCTTTTGTTTATAAACTAAATTTTTGCTATTGATATACTTCTAATAATACTTACATTAATATGATCATATTTTGTTATTCGTTCAATCAGTTAATCCGAACAGATGTATTAGTATTAGTATCATTTGTGTAGCGATTGGATGACGGATTAAATTTTGTAATAGTAATATTAATAGTAATATTATAACAAGAATTTCCATTGTCTGTTTCATCGTTATTTAGTCTTTTAGAAACATAGATAATGAGAGAAACCAACACCATTTATAAGCATCCCAGCTCAGTCATGATGGTGACGTTGCATTTGTCGACCTTCAACAGAAATACTCACATTGTAGTATGCAAATATTTTGAATCCGAAGAAGGGTAGCCCCATACGTTCCATGACCGAATAGAAGACACAAATAAATTTTAAAGTATCGTATTCTCTTTGAGAAAAAAAAAACGAAACTTGCCTTTAATATAATAATAGTATTGGTAAAGTCAAGCCTCGTCACAGCGGACCTCTACACAGCGGATTTCTTGTTACAACAGATTTAAATATTATAAGGCCGTTCTAGAGACCTTTATAGTCAAGTTGATTATTGGTGGGAAAATGATGTCTCTATAAATTTGACTTCCTTTATCACTCTTGTATGTAGCGGTTCCATCGATAGACCTGCCTGAGGAACTGCGATTCAAAATGTAACAGAAAACGGTAAAATTGAAGTCATTTTTGAGAATAATTTCATAAATCTCAATTTCATCACAATTAACTTATGATGTCTTCACAAAAACATAAACCTCAACTTATTGCTGTTGTTAACTTGTTCTGACAGTTCATTGTGACCTATTCGTTGTAAAATAGGTGGACTTTCAATAATTTGAAAAATGCCTGAAGGAGAAAAACAAACATGTTTTCCTATACATTTAAATATGAATGTTCAATTAGAACTCAACGAGACAAAATTTATTATTTGTGCTGTTAATGGAAATAATAATACTTCTTTTTTGAATTTCACTTTTTCCTGTTACATCTCCTGTAATATCTGATTCATAAATACAGCCTTGGCCTGGAATGAATTTGAAATTTTATTATGTTTTAGTCTATCAAATCTCACTTTCCTCTATAACAAAGCTATTTGATTCTTTCACATGATTTTTTTCCCCAAAATTTGTTCAATAAAATGTTCTGATTCATAGACGGATCGGTAATTAACAAGTTTTAGAAGTGAAGGGATCGGTTGACGCGAGCCACATAAAACGTTAACGTATCAAGTTCACGTTTCACGGATACATCCCATCTTAAATTTCATTGGGCGAATTCAATTTTACAAAATTTTTATTTTAATAAATACGTTTTTTTTTTTTACACAATCATCAAGGAGGGGAAACAGGCGACCATTATCATTGTTGTCAATATTATTATTTATAACATTTGTTATTATTGTTGTTGTGTTATTATTTATAATGATTGCAACTATTGCAACCCATTGTTATTCACAACTTCCAATCTTTTATATTCTTCTAAGGCTGCTCTAGAGACTTTTAGCTGGGAATAGTCAAATCCCAAGATGTGCAACTTATCCAGCGAAGTGGCTCAGCAGGACCCCAGAAACTACATAGACAGGTTACCCTAAAATTTTCAAAATTTACTAATGAGTTTACCCAATATTTTTTATATTAGATTTACCCAAGTTGGTAATAACTCTCTAATCTTTAATAATAAATTTACCCAAAAATATCTATGACAAAAAATTTTTTTATTTAAAAAATTTGACTAAAAATAGTGTGAGCAAAATCATGATATTAAAATAAATGAACATA